AGAATATCTCTTTGGATTTGAGACTTTAGTCTTTGCAACTTTACAGATCTTCTTTATGCACCAAGAGCTTGTAACACACGAAAGAGAAAGGAAAATTTTAAATTGCATCATATGACCCCTTTAATGGTCTCAGTGTGGGATGCTGACTGGTTTGCTGAGCTGAGACATTACATTCTCTCAGGGGTGTGAAGTAACGAATTACAAATACTCACGTTACAGTAATTAAGTAGTTTTTATCAATAATTGTACTTTTTTGAGTAGTTTAAAAATTGTGTACTTTTACTTTTACTTGAGTACATTTTAAGTGATGTATCGGTACGCGTGATACGCGCTGTGAAAAAGTGTGTTGGAAACACAAATTGCGCGTGATGTAATAAAACTTTTTCAATTTTAATATAAATTTTAATCCATTTTATACAATCCGACTTCATTTAGCAAGTGCACTTGCGCATAAACAATTTAAGTTCAACACTTTTTGTTCCGTTCAGTTGTGGATGCTGCTGATTCACCAAGACCACCGCGGCTCAGCAAAGAGACGCGCTCGTGTGTCTCTGGATATGGTCTCCACCGCAGTGGACTACCCCCTATGTGAGTGTTACCAATACACTCATAGTGTCTGAACTTAAACTAGAGACTTATATTGTTTATACAGAGCGAGTCAGGGTTTTTTTAAACATTATGTCCTCTCTTCAGGTTTCGTAAAGGGAGTTGCAAGACCAGACTATTGGATCCCAGACCATGAGATCACCCAGTGCCACAGCTGTACTAAACCCTTCACCCCCAGCATGTCCAAGCACCACTGCCGGGCATGCGGTCAGGGAGTGTGCGGGAACTGCTCGATGAAGACCAGGCCAGTGCCCTCTCGTGGCTGGGACCACCCTGTGCGAGTGTGTGATGGCTGTGCTGACAGCAGGGATTCCCTGTGACCTTGCTGTGCCTCTGTAGTGCCGCTCTAATACAGCTTGGTGCTCAGATGCAGGTTGTAGGCAGTTTTCATCCTTAGCCAGTGTAATCGGGGCTGGGAGGAAGACGAAACCCACTGCAGTTGCATAGACAAACACTCAGGCTCTTCAAAGCATTAAAGAGTGATGATATCTGGGTTATATTTCATCTCAAAATCAAAAGAGAAAAATGCTAAATGATATGTTGCATAATTAAAATAATTTGTTAATTTGTATGTATGTATATATATATATATATATATATATGTCTATGTATATGTACATTTATGTGTATATATTTATATTCATATAATTTATATTATATACAAATATTTAATATATAAACGTAACATATTTTTCTTAAATATATACATGCATGGGTGTGTATTTATATATACATAATAAATATACACAGTACACACACATATGTAAACAAAAACTTTTTATTTTGGATGCGATTAATCGTGATTAATCGTTTGACAGCACTAATAAATATATATATATTTTCTTTCGACTTTGGGATGAATAAACAGCCCAGAAATGTTCTATTCTTTGTGAGATTTGCTACAGAAATTAAAAAGAGGAAAATAGAAAATACTAATTTTAATAGATTTTGATAGATTCTAGCTATTGACTATCGTGCTAGCACTGAAACGAATTGCCTTCTAAAAGTGCATTTCTGTAAATAATTTGTTATTCTTCTTAAAACATCTTAATGTTTCTATCCCAAAGATATGTAACCTCCATAACAGACTAAAACACAGATAGCAAGAGCAGTAAATATTAACATATCTAATACACAGTAAATTATCACGTGGGGATATGTAGTCATATGTCATAGTCTGTATGTTCTCAGATATCTAATTAAGAAACATTTGCAGCCTTACCTTTATTGGTACAGTTTTATATTTTATTCCAGGAACAGAGCAACAGAAGTAGACAAGTTAAGCCTAGAATTCACATTCCAGTTCAGGCAATATCTGGCAATGGTCAGTTCATATCTTATTGTATTTTTTATCAGCATTGTTCTTTTCTGAAACAATGACTGCACTTTATCTAATATTTACTATTGTGGTCAACTTTCTTTAGTTGAGAGCCATATAATCTAATACATAAGATGCAAACTGTACATATATAATGAAAATTGAATTTTTCTACAGCATTTACAGTGTCTAATGGATCTCAACCGCTATCTTGCATATAACAGGATGATTTCACAGTGTGGGTGTCTGACATTTAATACAGGCTCACACTAAACTCAATGCAGATGACTGAATGTTAAGCCATCACAGCAGGATCACTCTCTGGTTTCCTAACATGTGTACAGCTTAGAAAATGGCTTATATAAGGCACTTTATTCATATTTGATTGGAGAGAGTCCATGTGGATAATTCACTCAAAAATGACAAATCTATCATTTACTCACCCTTATATCCATAGTACACTTCCATAGTAATTTTTTTTTCCATATTATGGAAGTCAATGGCTACCGTCAGATGTTTGGTTACCAACATTTTTCAAAATATCTTCTGTAAGTAAATTATGACAGAATTGTAATATTTGGGTGTACTATCCTTTTTATTTTATGATTCTGCTTTTGTATTTTTATCTGGAGTAGAACATTGTAGTCTTCTATGAAGGGATTTAACCAAAGCAATGGTTTTGATTGCATATAACTGAACCTGCATTTGACAATCCTACAATCTTTGTTTTGATTGGCCGGTACTGTTTTCAGGCTTCTAATCAGAACATTAAAGTTTTTTCAAAGCAGCCTGCCCTCTTGATTCACAAGATAACAGACATCTTTGGAAAATAACAGGTTCGAGCTCTGTAAGTGAACAAACGCGAGGTCATCTTGAGGTAGAGGTCTAGATTTCCTGCTCAAGGGCGTTAAATAGATGAAAGGGACTCAAAATCTGATTTAAATCGTGGAGGTTGTACTCACATTTCCTCCATTTGTAACATTACTGTCTGGCAAACAGCCTGCCTCATCACATCTACAGGAAACTGTCTTGAGAGGTTTACTGATTGTAATGTCAGCACTTGTGTGAGTGTCATTAAGAATCACACACACTGTAAAACAGGGCTGCTAATGGGGTCAGGTAACTGTTGGGACTGTGATATTACCCAATAACTGGCCCAATTCTCTTATGTCAGTGCTTTTAGTGATCAACAACATGCGGTTTTCAGTTGCTGATACTGGTATCTAGAAAACAGGGCTGCTAAAATGCCAGTATAGCATACACTACTAGTCAAAAAAATTGGAATCATTGAGATTTTTCATGTTTTTGAGTCACTTATGATCACCAAGGCAGCATTTGATCAAAAACACTTGAATTAAATATTTTAATTTATTTTAAAATGTCTTTATTCCTGTGATGTGTGTGTGTGTGTGTGTGTGTGTGTGTGTGTGTGTGTGTGTGTGTGTGTGTGCGTGTGTGCGCGTGTGCGCGTGCGCGACAATAAGCAGCACAAACCGTTTCAACTGTTCAACACTGATAATAATAAGACATGTATGATGATAAAAAAAATCAATGACACTAAATGCACATTTGGTTAATTTTGGAAGTTCATCACTTCAGTTAATCTGTTATTAAGTTCATATAAATATTTGTTCCTACAATAACCTCCAAAAACAAGCCATCAGAAGAACATTAAACCTAAAAGGGCAATGTAAGGCTTTGTCTTATAATCACTGTTGTTATTGTTAACTAAAACTATTAACCATTACAAATCATTTCAGTATCTGAATTAAGTTTCAATAAAATTTAAATATTACTTGAAATTAAAATTAAAATAGCTTTAATGTTACCTTGGCAACTGTCTAAAATAAGTTTAAGTACTAAAATTGCTAAGGCAAAATGGAAATGAAAAGCTAAACATAAAATAAAAATAAGAATAATAAAGCAGATAATAAAATTATCTCAAAACTAAACTCAAACTAAAATGAAGATGAGAAATTAAAAATATAAAAATAAAAGCAAATTCGAAATATTAACAATTATTAAAATAGTAATAAATAATATTAAATAACACCATAGTCCTGATTTAATTAAAAAAAAAAAAAAATGCAATTAGTTGCAGTACCACACTGTAACCAGCAGATAGAGCAACATCACTCTCAGCAAGAGACCCACGGAGTCACCTATTCATTTAGGATTTCACTCCTTATAGGATCTTACATAGTGGACATTTTTATTATATTTATATCATTGATCTATAGTTTATATAACAAAAAAAAACAGAAGGGGTACGAAAGTCTGCTAAATAAAAAAGAACTGAACATAACTTTAGACCTCACTCACTCACTCCAACACACTGCCAAAAAACAGCAGTCTCTACCTCTGGTTCATTTAAGGATAAAAGGATGAAAATAGCCCTATGTTACCTGACTCCACTGTTTAATCCAGGAGTTTTTTTATCATTTATATTGTTCTTGTACAGGAAGAGAAAGATTAGTGTGCCAGACAAAGATCTGACATAAATACTGAAGCATTTAATTATTTCATGAAAGTCTTTAATCTTAAGCTGCGTATTGTTGCACAAGAAATGATGTACTGCACTGCTAACACATTTCACACCTTAAACCTTCATCATGATAGGAAACACTTCAAATTTAGGAAAAGTCCAGATAAATTTATATCGTTAGTATAAATTTGGTCTTTACTGGTTTCATAGAAAAAGAAAGAAAACGTTTAGATGTGGCCCATCTAACACACTACTATTCAAAAGTTTGGGGTCTGTAAGATTTTTTTAATGATTTTGACAGAATTTATTTGCATTTGCATTTATTTGATAAAAAAGCAAAGCATTAATATTGTGAAATGGTTGCGTTTTAAAATAACTGTTTTCTATTTTATATGTTTAAAATGTAATTTCTTTGATGGCAAAGCTGAAATTTAAAGGGGTCATATGATGCGATTTCAATTTTTCCTTTTTCTTTCGAGTGTTACAAGCTCTTGATGCATAAACAACGCACTGGATAGCTGGCCAATCAGAGCACACCTTCGCAGACCAATGAGCTTTGTAAAAATTGACGTGTTTCAGAAAGGCGGGACATAGAGGAGAAACAATAATGTACAGTATGTGGAAAATAATGTTTTTTTAACCATGAACCGCATAAACACATTTCATTACACCGAATACACAAAATAATGTTCTTTTTAGCAGCATCATATGACCCCTTTAAGCATCATTACTCCATTCTTCAGAGTCACATGATCATTCAGAAATGCTTGAGATTACTGAGAAAAAGGCACCTTCCCTTTGTGACAACTAGCCCCCGTCTCCTCTAAATTTAAAAAGATGGAGTGAGGCAAAAGATCTATAGGCTTACTTATTGTTGTCTCTATGTAGTCATATGTCATTTGGGTCCACTGCTCTATGTAAGTCCGAATCATTACATATTTCACTATAAGCTTGTTTATCAGTCTCTTAAAATGCATAAAATCATTTGCATGGACAGATTAGTCTGCTGCAGGACGCTCTCATGCCGACAAAACCAACACCATGTGCGAGTTCAGCAGAAAGCATTATTATAATTCCTTAATCCCCATTTCACACATTATTTTTTCAGCTGGAGCAGCACTGACAGGCAGACACACTCAGTTTGATTTAAACTTAATTTGGAACATTGTTTTTTATTTTTTTTATTCACATATGGACTGCAAATAGGCTGCTTAGAGAACAAAGCACATTGCCAAAAAATAAATAAAAACTGTGGTGGATGCATCAGTGTAAATACTCACTAGTGTCTTCTCTCATACTGGAAGCTTTTGTAAGGTTGATTTATAACCAGGGTCAGTGCTTTTCTGCTTACCGTGGCTCTTTTTGGATGTTTATTAATGGCTGTTTTGCTTTCGGTATCCATGGAAACTCATTCTGCACTGTCCCGTTTTCTCCCTCATCCACACAGTCACTCTGAGGGTGCAGGACAATAAGAGGAGAGCCACCGCCGTTGAAACCATTCTCCCACTTTCTCACGCTTCCCCAGGGAAGACATGGCGCCTTGCTTGGGTCCATTTAACAATTCTGATCTTCAGCTTCTGCTGAGACACAAAGAGGCACTAATAGGCAGTTCTGCCAGTCTGTGTGGTTGATGGTCTGTGACCATTTCATTTTCAAAAAGTCTATTCATTAATCTTTTCAAGGGACTCTGTTGGATTGTTGTGAACAAGAGGAGCCATACAGTGTAATGGAGCAGCACATA